GGGAATGCCTCTTTCTTTCATTTTGAAGGCTCTGTCCTGCTCAATTGGATTCCACTCCCAGGAGCATCTCCCCGAGGGGAGCGCTGCCTCAGATGCACTGTTTTGTGGGTGTCCTTGTCTCCCCTCCTTTGGATGCCCCCGCGTCTCTGCCCTCACCCACAACACACTGCTTGTGGTTTGCCATCCCCTGCATTTCCGTCGGGGCCGGTGGAACAGCTTGTACCGGGTTTGGTTGCGTATGTTGTTCAGGGGTTGGGGTTTTCCTCTTTAACTGTTCTGTTTTTCAGTAGAAATGCAGAAAAAAATCAAAAGCTACGTCCCTGTTACTTCCAGAACCTCCTTCTACTCTCAGGCTTCCTGTTGTGAATGACAAGTTAATGCAAAACAAGAGAATGCCATCCTTCCTCGGCCCGGGACTAAACAACAATATGTGCGTCCGCTCTGGTGCCCACTGGCAGCCCCGTGGGAGCTGCAACAATGCCGATCCCGGGCCCATCCCGATACTGAGTTAACTGGTCTGGGGCGGGTGCTCCCCAGCTGGCTCCAACGCAGACCCAAGGTTGGCAACCGGTAATAATAAGAAAAACATTTTAGAAGCTTTTCAAAGTCCTGGGAATCTACAGACATGAAACCTGTTACTCTCTGTTTCCTCAACCTGTATGGGAATGCAGGCTCTTCCCCCTTCTTCTCCCCTATGATTCAGGGGCGGCTCACCCATCCCCCAGCAACTGGAGCAGTCAGCTCACCGAGGTGTGGCCAATCAGGGTGCTCCATTCTCGGTCCAGATGGGCATGTGACCCACACTGAACCAATGAAAAATTTCCCTGTGATATTTGCTAGAGTTATGATGGAAGGGTTTCCGTCTTCACAAAAAATGTGTGAGCTGCAAGATCAATATAAACCAGTGGTTCTCAACCTTGGCTGCACATTAGAATCACTTGGGAATCTTTGTAAAATCCTGATTTCTGGGCCTCATCCTCCGGAAATTCTGTTTCTTTGTGATGGGGTGGGGCCACCACATTAGTAACAAAGAAACAGAATTTCCGGAGGATGAGGCCCAGAAATCAGGATTTTAAAAAGATTCCCAGGTGATTCTAACGTGCAGCCAAGGTTGAGAACCACTGATATAAACCTTGAATTTGTTTTGCCATCTTGACTCCAAAATGAGGAAAACCTGCCTGAGCATGAAGCCTGGAGCGGAGAGCACTGTTGAGAGACGGAAGGAAAAAGGATCTTGACAGCACTGTGGCTGGGGCTTTTCGGGGTCTAAAATAGAATACCCCTCTTGCTCTGAATTCAGAATAAGTTGCGGTAAAGGGACAGGAAACAGTCTTATTGCGGAGAAGCGGGCTGAGTCATGTCTTTGGGTTGCTGCCCAAAAGAACTCTCTAACCCTCTGCCCCTGAGTTCATCTGGTTTACAGCTCGTCGCGGGCACGGCTGGAGGCTGCAGACTTTGCCCTCCATGGCAGGTGCTCAGCACGGGTAGGAGAGCCACGTGGGGACGGATGTACCGGTCAGACCAAAGGAAGGCACTGGAAGCGCTGATCCAGGCCCACGTTCCAGGTCCGTTCCCAGTTCCCCGCCTGGGGAACGCTCTCCTGGGCCATGGCTCATGGGCTGGTGACTTGAGTTGCTACTAGACTTTAGCCTCCACTCAGCCCCTCCGACCAATGTCCCTGCGACCAGGTGAGTCCTCTCACTCCTGGGAGAAGTGATTGCGAAGCGGAGGGTGCGAGGCTCCTCTGTGCTTGCTCCTCCCGGGAGACTGACAGTTGGTTCAGCTCCTGGCTTCATTGCATAGGAAGCCACTTGCGCTCCCCGAATTTGCAGTTGTGACCAAATGCATTCTCTTTCTTTGTGAAGCCAGTTTGGCTTAAGTTTTTGCCACTTAGCGACCCAAACTTTGGATTCGTATCTCAGTTCCTAGCGTTTAGTAAAATTCATGTTAAGAAACGTACTGAGTGGCTGTGGAGAAATACTGTCCTTTTTGTGCCGTACGGGGGCCTCCTTGGAGGGAACCTCAGGCTTACGATTGGATTTGGACAGGACTGTCCTCTTGGGGTCTTCAAAGGTGGCCTCATCCACAGGCTTCTCCAGTTCCCGGCCCCACTCCCTCGCCCCCTCTCTCCTGGGCCTGGGTGGCGCGATTCACTCTTCCTGGCTCAGTGGCTGCGCCATCCCTGGCGGTTCCTCGGCCTCCCACACCGCTTGTAAACAGTCCTCGGGCTCTTCTACTTGTTCTTTGGCTGTAGCATCGTTCCCGTTGGCCTCTGGACTGACAGCCAATGGGTCATCATGTTACCTGGACACAGGCATGCCTTTGCTGGCTCTACAATGTGCTTAGAGAGCTGACAGAGCCACTTTTAAATACACGGCCATTCAAAGGTCAAAAGGCTTCAATGTTTTCCCCAAGAAAACATTTTTAACCTCCCCCCGCCCCCCCTAATAAGTACAATGTTTGGCTATATCCTATTTAAGAAAAAACACATTTTCAAAATTAACACCCTCCCCCACCCCTGGGCACATCTCCCCTCTGATCAGATTCACAGTAATAAAACATACCAACATCTAGATAGGAAGACGTATTTGCTCAGCTCAGAATTTCCCAAGTGGTGAGAAGACATCACAAATTTTACTTAAACTGTAAATATTATTTTAAAGTATCACATTCAAAAGGAGCTTGAGAATAAAGTAGGGTTTCTTTTGGGGGGGCGTGCTATAGCTTTTCATGCAGTATTCTCAGATGAATGTACTATTTCTTTCTACACCCCCACTTTTTTTCTCTCTGACCAAGGGAGAAAGACTATAAAGTGTTATTTCTGACCTCCATGTTTCCTCATTACTGATCTGCTAACTTCATTTGCTATGAGACGCGCGCTGTGCATAATGAGAATTGCTTTTTGGAGCGGCATTTTAAACGGGTTCTGATGTGCTGCGGAGGTCCTGTTAGCGACACAGTGTCAGCGGGTCCTCCCTAGCCCCTGCATCCCAATAACCAACGAGAAAACACATGGGAGAAAGAGACAGCCGTGCACGAGAGCACCAAGGGCATAGAGCAGCCATGCATGGCCTTCACAACAAATGGGCGTGACCTGCACGAAGACAATGATACAACTTCAGGGAGTGTATGAAGAAGATAAGCAATCATAAGAAAAGTGAGCGTTTCTGTCCAGCTGGCGTGTCTCAGTGGCTGAACGTTGACCTGTGAACCAAGAGGTCACAGTTTGATTCCTGGTCAGGGCACATGCCTGGGTTGTGGGCTTGATCTCTGTAGAGGGCGTGCAGGAGGCAGTTGATCAATGATTCTCTCTCATCATTGATGTTTCTATCTCTCTTTCCCTTTACCCCCACTTTTTTTCTCTCTGACCAAGGGAGAAAGACTATAAAGTGTTATTTCTGACCTCCATGTTTCCTCATTACTGATCTGCTAACTTCATTTGCTATGAGACGCGCGCTGTGCATAATGAGAATTGCTTTTTGGAGCGGCATTTTAAACGGGTTCTGATGTGCTGCGGAGGTCCTGTTAGCGACACAGTGTCAGCGGGTCCCTAGCTCTCCCTGCATCCCAATAACCAACGAGAAAACACAGGGAGAAAGAGACAGCCGTGCGCGAGAGCACCAAGGGCATAGAGCAGCCACTCGTGGCCTTCACAACAAATGGGCGTGACCTGCACGAAGATAATGATACAACTTCAGGGTGTGTATGAAGAAGATGAGCAATCATAAGAAAAGTGAGCATTTCTGTCCGGCCGGCGTGTCTCAGCAGCTGAACGTTGACCTATGAACCAGGAGGTCACAGTTTGATTCCTGGTCAGGGCACATGCCTGGGTTGTGGGCTTGATCCCCAGTAGAGGGCGTGCAGGAGGCAGTTGATCAATGATTCTCTCTCATCATTGATGTTTCTATCTCTCTCTCCCTCTCCCTCTCTGAAATCAATAATATATATATATATATATGAGAAAAGTGAGCATTCCTGTGTCCTTCATGCGATCACAGTGCTTCATCTTTCCCTGTGTTGTCGCCTCATCTAGGAAGCAGAGAGGCCCTGCAGTAGCCACGCGGGACTCCTGAGCCTGACTCAGTTGACATAGCCTCTCCGTGCTTCAGTTTCTCCGTCTGTGAAGGCAGAGGGACAGTGCACACCCGCAGGATTGCTGTGAGATTTATGTCAGTCCCCATGAGCCGAGTGCTGAGCACAGTGCCTGGCAAGCAGCAAGCCCTGCCTCGGTACTACTTTGGTCGGGGTGGTGGTGACATGGGTGTGTGCCTATGTAAAAATGCATGGAGCTGTAGCCTAAGATTTATTTACTTTCCTGTATGTACATTACACCCAAACACACACACAGCCTAATCTGAGTTCATAAAGATGGGCAGAGGACATAAGATCACAAAAGAAGAAATCAACTGACTTCGCTATGATGAACACAGACGCACACTCCGTCTCAGCGGACAAAGGAAAAGCTATGTTTAAATTATAATACCTATCGCGGAGCAAGATGAGGGTGTCAGGGGGAAGATCCTGAGGTGAAGCTTTGTGGGCAAATGCCTATTCAGGAAGTTCTTCAGTGTGAAACCAGCAAGGGTGTGGGGAAGTGCTGGGGGAGGACGAAGCCCCGCAAAGGTGTGCGTTCAGGCGAGGGCTCACTCCCAGCCTCGCCCCAGGGAGGTCTGGAGAGTAAAGGACACTGAGTAGGTGACTCTGCCCCGGGCGAGTGACCCGGGCTTTCATACTCAGGAGTAGGCTCCCTGCTGCCCGAGAACATGGTGGTGAAAAGCAATGGACATGCTCTTGGACTCACGGTCCTCTGCTCTCTGGTAGGAAGACAGACAAAACCAAGGGCCTAATAGTAAGCGAGGCGAGTGCTATAAAGAAACAAAGCGTGTGTGAGTACAGTTTTAAAAAGCTTGATGTTAGCCCGACCGCTGTGGCTCAGTGGTTGAGCGTCGACCCATGAACCAGGAGGTCACGGTTTGATTCCTGGTCAGGGCACATGCCCAGATTTCGGCTCGATCCCCAGTGTGGGGCGTGCAGGAGGTAGCTGATCAATGATTCTCTCTCATCATTGGTGTTTCTATCTCTCTCCCTCTCCCTTCCTCTCTTTGAGATCAATAAAAAAAACACACACAAAAAAACCCCAACATATTTAAAAGCTTGATTTTACCAGGGTTCCCTAAAGAAGTTAGAACTGAGACCTAAGGAATAAGTGGGTGATAGCTGTGCCCAAATGAAGGGGGCAGGTAGGCTGTTGGGAGCAGTTGTAGGAGGGAGCTGTTTTGCCTGAAGGGGCAGATTGGGGGCGGGGGGCATCAGAATAAAAGAGGATCAGAAAGTTAGCCTGGCTGGGGACTGGACAGCAAGGGGAGGAGTATCAGCAGATAAGCCCAGAGACAGGTCAGTCCCTGCAGGTCTTGTTAGGGATTGTTGTCCTTATCTTAGAGCAGTGGGGACTCATTGAAGATTTTAAGGAGAAAGACTAGAACAGTGATGGCGAACCTTTTGAGCTCCGTGTGTAAGCATTTTGAAAAACCCTAACTTAACTCTGGTGCCGTGTCACATATAGAAATTTTTTGATATTTGCAACCATAGTAAAACAAAGACTTATATTTTTGATATTTATTTTATATATTTAAATGCCATTTAACAAAGAAAAATCAACCAAAAAAAATGAGTTTGTGTGTCACCTCTGACACGCGTGTCATAGATTCGCCATCACTGGACTAGAACAAGATCTGACTTGCATTTTGCAAGGGCATGACTGCAGCATGGGAAATGGCTGGAATGGCTGCGGGGAGATCAGTCAGGAGACCGCTGTAGAAGTATAATTGAGCGTGGGTTGGAGGGGGTCGATGGGGGAAAGAGAGGGACAAATGTAATACTTTCCAAAATAAAGATTTAAAAAAGAAGTGTCATTGATATGTGTTTATAACTTAAATGGGGTCTTCACAGTAGAGATGAAAAGAAATGGACTCAGAGGATAAATACCTATAGGCAGGATTTGGTGATGAGTAGATATGGGGGCTAAGGAAAGAGCAAGGATTAGAATGACTCTTAGGTTTCTGACATGAGTAAATGCATGAATCAGGTACCACTGAATAAGTGGTAAACACTGTAAGAGAACCTAGTTTGGGTGTTAGATTGTGAATTTCACCTCGGACATGTTGAGTTTCATATAACTTGAAGATTTCTGGTGAGCATGTGATCAAAACAGGAAAAGATGGAGAGTCCTGATGGACATTTCACCCAACCACGGTTACCACGTCTCTCTAGTGACTGTGTTTGTGCTTTCCAGGTGTAGCGTCTGTCTTTCTAGAACAGTTAGAACAAACCTCACAACATGTTTCTCTGTAACAGGTGAATAACAGCTTAGGAGCTGGGGCAGTCCAGTTCGAGATGTCAGATTGGACATAAGCATTCCAATCCCTTCCCTCCTTCACCCAGCTAGGAGAACAGTAAAGTGGTTTTAAACAAAACATAAATGAACAAGGGAACGGGAAGGAGATAATAGAATTAACATTTTAGAAACTAGGAATCAGGTAGGCAGGTCGTAAGTAAGCTGGGACACTCAAGAAAGTGAATCTTAAACTTGATGATAACCAGCCCGACTTATACTTTAGATCCCTAAAAATGTGGAGCAACAGGTATCTTAGGAAGTGGGAGTGAGGGCAGGCATTTCACCAGGGATTTG